CTAACATTTGAAAGCACATTATTTTCTTTAGAAACAACAGTGAGCATTAAAAAAAAATTATGAGAGAAGAAAGTGCATTTACTTTGCAAAAGTATTTGTTTTCTAGTAGGCCCTATAGAAAATGGCACATTTTGCTGTTGTTGTTGTGTGTTGTCAAGTTGATTCCAACTCACAGAAACCCTGAACAATGGAATTAGAATTGCCTTATAGAGCTTCCAAGGCTGTAATTATTACAGAAGCAGAGTACCACATCCTTCTCCCATGGAGCCACTGGTGAGTTTGGACCACTGACCTTTCCATTAGTAGCTGAGTGCTTTAGCACTGTACCACCAGTGCTCCTGAACACACTTTACACACAGCATTTCAGAAGCATATTGTAAAGTAAGAGATGGCTTGTTAGAAAATGTTTTCCCTGGGGCAAACTCTGGCCTTTCTTAACACAGAAAAATGAGAGATTTCACTGGAAAGAAGATAGTGCTAAAGCTGGAATGCTTCAAGTTTTCAGCTTTTGGGGACCTACTTTAAATCCTGACATTCTAAAAACTCCTGTTTGAATTCAGTACCTGTGTTACTTGGTTCACAGACCCATAGGTTTCCTCTCATGAGAAAGTCTAGGGCCATTGAGACAGAAACTTGTACCAGCTACTGCAGATGGAGTCCACACAACTCCTGTCCTACTTTATGTCCTGACCATCTCCTCATAAAGTGATCCATAAATACTTCATGAGAAACACAGAGGCAAACAGAGAAGGAGAGACAGAGAGATAGAGATACATAGAGAGATAAGAGAGCTAAACTGAGAGTGAGGAGAGTAAGAGAGAGAGTGTGAGAGAATGAGAAAATGTCCTTATATTTGGAAGGATGAGAATTAAATTGTTACTCAACATTTCTAGCTACAGCCTATGTCTGTCTTCTCTAGCTGTCAGCTAAAAACCTGAGACTGACTTTCCTCTCCCACCACTATGAATGAAACCGGCTCTGAAAGCAATCAATCAGCCATGTTTCACCTCCTTCAGCAACATCCATGGTGGATGCAGTGCATTTCTCACACTTCCTTCTGTAAATCCTGCTTCACTGAGTCTGCTATTGGTTATCAGTCTTAGAATTTTACCAAAGAGAAAAGCTAATAGATTAGAAAACCAATAAACTTTTCCAAGAATTATTTTGTTAATTGGATTCATTGCAAAATATATGTCTCTATTAAACAAATTACTAGCTTTGTTATTTAATGACATGAAGTTATGGAGTGATCATTTTAATATCACCTACTTAATAAAGCGGTACCAGTTTTAGTATATTATATCCCAAAGGATCTTTTTCTGTATTCTAGGGCACTTTGAAGATAATGCTATTCACAACACTTACCAAACATTACTTTTTATTGAGTATGGTTATTTTTTCATGTTTTATTTCCCCAGCTAGATGATGAAATTTTAAGGGAAGGACCAAGCTCAATGCCCATCTTTGCATCTTGTGTTGTGCCCAAACTAAGTGTGAATCCTGGCAAGGTAAAATATCATTTTTCAATGATAGGCTGATCTTTTGAGCAGACACACATTTGAAGAAATTGATATTTTCATTTCCTTTTAGCCATATATTTTTGAGCCTATGCCCACCTTATTCAGCAGATACCTATTATGGTAGGTGGTCTAGAGACATCTGGTAGATTACACAGGGGGTCAAGCCCTGAGGCACTCCTGTCTCTAGCAAGGGGGAGCAGGTTGGGAGCAGGCAGCTATAGACTAGAGGCAGTATCATGGGAGCAGCAGTGACACAGGGCAATGGGGAGTCAGAGGACTTTCAGCAGGGGCTGCTGGCATTAATGGGAAGGTTTGTGGTGGAGGTGGTTCTTAAGCAGAGCTCTAAATTATACATTCCAGAAGGAGATGAGCTGTCAGGCAATCTTAGGACTCATTATGCCAAAATGAAAATTGGTGGGGCATAAGTTTGCACTAAGACCCAAAGCCAAGCATCAGCTGAAGATCCTGGACACCTCCAAACCCAATGGACAGCACTCCTCAGTCTAATCACCAAAGGTATGCAACACACACCTGGGAGTGTGCCTGAGGCCTTGCCCACTGCCAGAGGTGGCTTTTCATTTATAAAGCAGTAAGGAGGGTAACACAGTAACAAGGAACTGGTTTTAGCAAAAATAAAAGAGAGAAGATCAAAGTACCCACCTATTTATTATGAGATACACACGGCCATTGACTTTGGCATGGCTACGAGGAAAGATGGAGCACAGAATGCATGCCATGGCAGGGAGAGACAAGTGGAGAGAGAGAGAGGAGACTGTTAGATAGACACGAATGAGCAGACAGTGTCCTGTCAGGCCTGTCTCATGTGGTGCATCATCATTGGGATATAGTTCACACACTAAAGGAGGATTGCCGCTGCAAGGTGACATTCAACATCATGTTGTTATGTGCTGTAGCTAGGAAAAATGCTTAAGACACATGGCTTGCCATTCTTCTCAGGCTTCATCATCTCAGACACTTTATTAAAACCGTTTAATGCTGAAATTTTCAAACCATATTTTATCAAATAAAATATCATCTAAAAGATTAATTCTTGTTCCTTTCTCAGAATAAACAAGAAAATGGTACAAAGTCACCATATTCTGCATGTTTTCCAACACTGACTTGGAAAAAAAGTTGTTTTATTTCTGTATGGATAACCATGATTTCTAAAAGAAATCATTGACAAAGTAATATAAAAGTAATAAATATTCAAACAGCTCTTAATAAATTATTACAAATTATATATTCAATTACAAATAATTAGGTTTTATATTATTATCAAGATTTATGTGAAATGATATTACTGAGAATGCCTACTTCATGCTAAGTTTAGGAGCTCTTTAAGGCTAAGCACAATAAATTCTACTTCAGACACTAGTAACATTTGCCTATGCTACCTAAACACACACATACACACACACACACACACAGGACAAAACAAGAAAAGAACAGTTGGAGATGTACAGAAAAAATTTTGCTGAGGTCAATTTAATGACGATAATGAATCAATCACTACCACTCTGTGAGATTGTTTGTAAAGCATCTACTAAAGAGTAGGAGCAGATACAGGAAATATGGTAGTCAAACCAAATTCTGACAATATTTCTTTTTCTTTTTCATTTTGACTTTAATGCAGTCATTGATTAGGACTACAGGGATAAAAAAATACTGTGAGGCAAAAATTACGAGTAAGGAAAATATTACATTAGAAATGCTTTTCTAAAAAGATGGAATAGATATCAGATGTTTAAAGGTAAAATCTTGGGACTTTAATATTAAACTCTTGAAAGAAGTATCCAAATTATAAGCTTTATAAGTCTTTCAAATCCACATTCTCTAAGATTCTAGAAAACTTTTACTCACAGATCTAAAAATGACATCTTGTGAGCCTAAACTCTTCAGACTTACTGAGGCTGTAGTCCTTCCCAAGAACCTACCTGCTTAAACACAGTATGTAACCTTAAAGGAAAGTACGGGGCACAAATTCACTTTTCACATATCTTAGTCTCAGTGGTTGTGATTCTTTGGGCTGGTAAATTCTTTGCTGAGCCATACTGTCTTCTATGCTCTGAAAATCTCTATTTTTCTGGGTAAATTGTGACCTATATTGCTATTTAATTGCATAACAGAAGACTTAGTCATACGACCATAAAAATAATTGCAAGAAAAAGTGCCATTATTTTGGAGGAACTTTCAATGAGGAGAAAATGAAGACAGAAGAGAACAAAAGACATTTAGAAGGAAATTTTTTTTTTTTTAAAAAAGATATTGTTAGCAATGAACAGTAATTACATTTATTTCAAACACAAATCTAATCTGCTGACTAAAAGATTTTTCTTGGTTGTTGAATA